TCTCTTCTTTGCACTTTCTTAGATGAATATTTGTATTTGAACTAATTCTTAAAGTTAGTTTGAAGTGTCCTGAAAACTTTAAATGTAATAAATATTTCAGACTGATTATTGCTATTAAACCTTATAATAAGATTCCATAAAATACAATATTTAGTGATTAATGGATATGGTTACAATAGTTGATTTTTTCTCTATCAGTTACGATTTTCTTTGCATCGTTATAAATATTTTTTATCAATAGCAACGTTGGTCATTATTAATTGAAAAAATTTTGTAGATGCAAAAAGTCTCCTTGTTCAGTATTCTTGTTCAATATTGCTAAAATATTCTTCTTGTTCAATTATTGACCTACTAATTTTTTGACATATAAGAATTGTTCATAATTCTTATACATTTTTGTGTAAAAGTGTTATTTATGCTTTATACAAACGTTTTTATTTAGCATTCAATTTGAAACAGTTAGTATTCATTTTTTTAGCCGCGAAATAACGACTCATAGAATGACTCTGAGTTTTTTCAAGTACAAACTTTTAGCTTATAACTCCTTCATCTCCTGACGGATTGGAGTAAAAATTACAGTTTTGTAATAAGGAGGTCCAACATTTTCGATTGATGTATTTGACCACGCCCAAGGTCTCATAGTTTAATTTACTCTAATCGTGTCTAAAAGAATTTCAATTTGATGGTAGGCTGGTAGAGATCCTGATTAGTAATATAATCAAATCGGGTACACGCGTGCCCCACACTTGGTATTGCTGGCGCACAAAAATATATTTATTGACTCTAATCCTGCCTAAAAGTATTTGAAGCGCCGCAGCTATTGAGGATTAGCTTTTATTTTTCTTATAATCGACTATCTTAGCTCGATAGCATCAACTTTTGATTGTTCTCTGTTTAATAGAAGGAACGGCTGAGTTTCCAAAAATAATAACGAACAAAGATACACTATTTTCAGTTTTTGAATTATTTGCATACATTTAACATATTAAAAAAGTTAATTCGTTTGAAAGTTACTACCCCATAACATCAATTTAGAGAGATACACTGTCTTAGAACATCGATTTGCTATAAAAAATTATCAAAAATATAAATAGTTTCCTGTGGACTGTTCCTACTTTCTCTGCGGCCTTACAGAGGGTGTTTAAGACTCTATGCTGACTTCTGCATGATTGTTTGAAGTTAAGCACAAAGCTACACAATGGGCTATCTGTGCTCTGCCCACCACGGTTATCGAAACCCGGATTCTAGCGTTGTAAGTCTGCGGACATACCGCTGTGCTACTGGGGGGGGGCACTTCTGCATGACGACTTGTTCTTCAAAAACCTTTCTTGAAAGACATCACTGAAATATCAAATTACCCCAATGCTATTACACTAAATGCTCAATTTTCTAGTATTAAACATATAGGAAGTAAATTACTTTACTAGGAAAGGTTTCAAGCAATGTATTTTTCTTCTTCAGGTTAATTAAATGTATTGCTTATCATTAAAATAACTCTTAATCTTAGGACCCCGGGATCAGTTAAATTCTCCCACCAGTTTCGTGGACGGTTCCATGATTTACGGAAGTGATCTTCACACCGTTCAATCACTGCGACTATTTCAAGACGGTAAGTATTCTTCAAAGTGAGATATTTGTTTATAGAAACGTCAAGAATGAATTTTTTACACTTTGTGCAGATGACCATAATACGAGCGTTTAGGATATTTTTCAAAGTTAAGAAAGACATTTAGACTAAAATATATTTAATCGATAAAGTTTTTCTGAAACATTCTAGTAAAATAGTGACTTAATTGATTTGCATCAGTTTACATCTGGTTTATAATAGAAAATAGTTATAAAAGAACGTATTCTAACTGTCTTTCTTTTGATAGGTTTGATGAGGTTTCAAAGAGATTCAGAGGGAAATGTCATTTTACCACGATCTCGAAACACTAGAGGCGATTTGTGTAGTGAACCAAGGAATAAATTATTCTGCTTTCAAGCAGGTAATGAATGAAAAAAGTAATTAAAATTTTAAATTTATGATAAAACGATGAATAAAACCAATAATGATTGTTCGTGTTTATGTCATGTTAGAAATGACTATATGATCATATATAATTCTATGTTGTTCATAAACTATCGAAAAATTTCATTGTCACATGTATTAGAACGGTTTTAGGACAACTGCCCCCACCCAGACAATTGCCCCCCGCAGCCATATTTTCTAATATTAATATAACTGAAAAAAATAGGAAAAATAACACATATGTTTTATATTTTGTAGAATAACAAATTATTTAAAATTGTTTAACCCTCTCGCCCCGGCTATCGTTTACTGCGCATGTCACGAGGTTTTAGTGACTTGCAATGATATTTTAACTAAAGTACTTTTTGTTTATGTTTAACTTTTTTTTAAATAATATACAAAATTTAACATGAAACCTGTGTTATTTTCTCCTACTTAAACAGTCTTAGATAATTCATTCTTCTATGAAATACAAGGTATATGTATATATATTTTTTCTATTTTAGTCAGTTATATTAATATAATAGGATATGGCTGCGGGAGGCGGTTGTCCAGGGGACAATTGTCAGGTCACCGTAAGAACATGTTCTCTAAAATGCAAGTTTGATCATGGGTGTTTTATGTTTGTATTTTTTAGCCTAAAGGTTTTTCTTCACAAATATGTACGTTACAGCTGTAATAAAACATGTCAAAAGAGAGAGTGTTTGAACTATAATGTTCCTGCTGTATGATCAGTTCCCAAACAGTTTAACCTGTCTAGCTTTATTGAAAATTAATAAATAAAATTCTGTATCTGTTGATGTATACGATCTGGATAGCTAAATCAATTGTGGCTTGCAGCAACTACTCTTTTATGCTTATTTATTTACTAATTTTCAAATAAAACTGTATTTTCCAAAGCAGACAGTATTACAGATAATGTTTTTCGGTTTCTCCAGGAGATCGTCGGTTGAATGAACATCCAGCCTTAACAGCTTTACACACCATATTCATTAGAGAACATAACAGAATTGCGAGAGAACTCAGAAAAATAAATCCTTGCTGGAATGATGAGAGGCTGTTTCAAGAAGCCAGGTTAAGCTTATATTGTTTCGAAGTGTTTGATCAAAGCAAACTACCTTCATAGATCATAGCTAAACATTAACCGATAATGAATATAGAAAAGTTAATATATATCTCTTAATGGGGTATACAAAGTCACGAGCTCATAAATATTATCATAATATGAAAGTATTTATTCATGAAATGGTACCGTTGCTGTTAAACATATTTTATACCGTAACCATAACATTTCACGATGTTCGGCCATCTTAGAAAATTAAGCTTAGTGCTAATTCCAAATATTAAGATAACAAGTAATCATAATAATAACTAATATATGAAAAAATAAGTAAAATAACTAGTAGGTATATTAAACAATTTAATCAATACTGTTAATTAAACTGTCATTAAAGAAATAGTAAAAGATCTTGTTTACATTTTATCATGTTATTAAATAAAAATTACATTTCTTTATTTACTTCAGTAATAATTGCCACTTCTGCTTTTTTTTTCAAATTATTCTTTTAATTAATTATTATGAAATACTTAATTAATTCATAAAGGTTTTCTATGTATTTATTCATTTTGTTAATGGCCTACTGATGTTTGCTTGTTATTGTTGTTTCTTAAGG